AACCCATATGTTCTAAATACAAGTGCTAATTGGTTACAGTTTAAACTTAAATTGGTTACTAATAAATTTACAAGTACCTAAACATTAAATAGGTACAACGAAATGGACAGTTAGATTCTTTGGGTTTTCATTGAATAAACTTTTTACATTTTCAGCATCTATGCGTAGCTGAGAAGATACCATTTAGTTTTAATGTGATGTTTTTCTTTTATTTTTTGAATAAAAAAATATGTCTGAATCCATGACATTACCTAAACCACTGAATTAATTTTTTTACATAGACAGTCTTTGAGGTAACACATTAAAAACATTCACTCTTTCCCCTATAAAATCGAGAAAAGCGCACCAAAAATGCACATATTTAAAATAGTTTAATTAGTTACAAACTTTTTTGGGATATTATTTAGTTCATTTTTTTTTTTTTGTTATCTTAGACCAGTCGCACGAAGTCGATTCGCCAATACCATGCAACAAGTGAACATGGATGCGACTTTGCTTTGGAAGCTTATCGAAGCAACCGGAACTAATACACTACAACAGTGCACTTGTCTGCCAACGGTATCTTAAAAACAGGTCTGGTCATAATTTTGTCCAAATACAGCAAAAATAAATTTTTGGGCCAAAGTATTAATACATCCAAAATATTATGGGTTAAATAAATTTACGAGAAATATTTATTTTCAAAACCTTCAATAATACATGTTATACTTGTAACTTTTTCCCAAAAGTATAAAACAAAAATGTTGTAAATAGTGAAACACGATTTATTAGCGTTAATAAAATCACATGATAGAAAGGTTGGATCCAAATTATTGTAATATCAACAACAAAAAGTGCCCAGTAGTGGGGTTTGAACATTCTAGATCTAGCATGGGTCTATTTTTTAGGCGATTGTAAACTGCGCCCAAGGCACAGGTAAACACAAAATCATATATGCAAACTGCGCCTGAGTTTTTATTAAGTGTAACAAAATTACATGTAAACTGCGCCCGAGTTATTATCAAGTGGATAAAGGTGATATGTAAACTGCAATGAAAACTTTGTAATTTTTCATGTTCTTGTTTTGTTTTAGAACTTCTGTCTAATCATAAATATATTTTTTTTTAAACTTGCATTTCAATTTTAGTTGAAATCATTGACTGCTAATATTATTTATAATCAGTAAATCTCTTTCTTACACATAAGGAATCAATACGTTTTTTTTTTAATTTTATAAAGTTTTTTTCCACATTATTGTATAGCTTTATTATTTTTTTCTATGACCCATAAATTGCAAATACCATACGATATTACATTATGGTTTGTCGTTTATCGAAAATAAGTTGTTTTACTTAAACAAATTTTGGCTAGTCGTTTGTTTATTCAAATGTGTGAACTATGTTACAATAACAATGACGAATAACTATTTTGTACGTTAAGATACATAATTATTGTTCTAATTGTCCCAATGTAAACATTTATAGTTATGACATTAATTTGATTGTAAAGAACATGTACCTAAAGTGATACTATTTTCTTAACTGAATCAAATTAAAGAATGAAGATGAATTAAATTATTATACTCAGAGATCGGAAAATATGAACACAATGATAAAAAAATGTGTTATCTAGAATATAAGACATACGTAGGTAAATGTTTTATAAGTATTGATATTGGTGGTTATACAAAATTATGTTTTACTACTATATCTGTAACAATATGTAATATTGCCATGCCATAAAATTCAAATGTTCAAACAAGAAAATACAAAAAATGTAGAAATTAAATAAATGTAGTATGTTTTTTTTTAGACCTTTGTTTAACACAAATTATAATATTGCAGACAGGGAAATATAGGACACAGAAAATAAAAATACACTGTGCCTAGATTTTGTTAGATTAATACCGAACATAATTTAAGAGAGCAACTTCTTTTATTAATTTGTAACACTACGAAAAATGTGATTTTTCAACAAAAAAATTAAGCTCGTTGAAAACATATTATTGTTTCCAAATGTGTATTTAAGCACAAAAATATGCGGTCGCAAGTTCGTTTTGATAGCTAAAAAAATAAAAATTTAGGTCACGACGGTGCTGTTTATGCGAATTGTTGTTGTTAAAAATATACTATGATAAACAAAAATTTAGGATACGTTATCGCTATGATCTCTATGCGAATAGAAAAACCTGTGTATTATAGTAGATTAGTAAAAAAAAATCATGAATATTCAATAAAGTTAAAATACATTAAGTTGCATTGTTCAAATAGTCTTTAAATGCAAGTTTTTTTGATACTTAAATTTTTACACCCTCCCACAAAATAATATAATTTTTCACTTATAATATAAAACTAATTGTAATATTACAAAAATCTAATAAAATTACTTATCCACGCTGAGACGATGTAGAAGAAGAACATATTATGTGTACATTAGCTATGACTCATATTTTCATGTTTCTTACAAATGTCAACTTATTTAAACCATTGTCTCTAATGTGAGTGTTGCAAATATCAACATGATAAATAATCGATTCACTGATAATTATTTCCAAAAAAATATCTTTTAATTAATAATAAAAAAAAGCTACGAAAATAGGAGAGTGTAAAATTTAAATTTTTTTATAATTTATAAGACATTTTTTTTATCTACAGTTAATTGAATTTTGTTTATAAAAATATTATCAGCTTATGAAACATTAACAGCATTAAAACATTAGGAATCTATACAGTTCAATAATCAATAATCGTCCCTATCCGATAATTATAATAAAAGAGATTGCATGTCCACTTATTAAATTTAAAAATTGAAGCTGAAGCTACCTCCAATGAATTATGTTGTCAGACTTATAAACTAAAACTAGAGTGATTTCATAAAAATAACTCATAATTTTTTTTTCTTTAGTCATCACTAGATATAGAAATAATGAAAAACAGTGGGGGTTAGGTTGATATTCGAATTATGCTCTTAGTGGAAACTAAAAGTGTGAACGCGTTTTGAAGAAATGTGAATTAGAATCAAAGATATCCAGTAATAAACAAAATACTATATATATTATAACTAGACACAGTCAATAGTTACTTATAGTTAGTAGTTTTATGTGTTTGTATTCACTACTGCAATCTTATCAAATACTACAAGTTACAACAATAAAGTAATTAAATATAATTATATCGCTATTTTGGGAAGTTGAATTAAAAGTCACTATACTTATTCATATACATACACATGCAAAACCCTTTTATGACTAATCATTATCATTTTATATTTAGCTTCGATGCACAGTGGCAAAGGTTTGGTTTTACTCTGATGTGTGTTTTTTTTTTATCTGTATGCACTGTAACCTTTTTTAAAACTGGACCAATTCCTTCGAGTAGCAACTTTATAAATCACAATTTTCATCTAGTTGGTACTTTGGATAGGGTGGGTAAATGTTAAAAAAGTTTACTCCTTTACGGTCGAAATTTGACTTTTTAATTTTAATTTAAATGTTAGCAACTCAATTTTTCTTTAGAACACAACAAGAAATTAAAATACAGGGTGGGTCAGTAAAACGGGTGATTTTCTAATTTATTTAAATGGAAAAATCGCCCGTTTCGTTTTGTATTGTACATTTTGTTTTGTACATTGTCAATCTAGTAAAATAGAAGTATGATAGAGCTTTGAAAGAATATAATCTATAAAGTATAAATAGTTAGTGTGAGATTGCTCCAATGAAAGGATATAATACATAAATATTAATTTTATTGAGAATAAGCGATTATAATTTAAACTATAGAGTACCAATGATTGACCCATGAATCGCCGAACATTCCATCTAAATTTAACAAGACATAGTATATGTTAGTAATTGGTCCACTATGTTTTTGCAAAAAAAAAACCAGTACAGTGGGGTCGTGGCATAGTGGAAACGGAGCAAGTTGGGTCGGGGCATAATGGTGACGGGGAGGTCACAGGTTTACAGGAATTTCTAAATCTGAAAGGATAAATCACTTTCGACAAAACGCTTCGATGCAAATCGGTAGTTAGTATTTTCAAGCCAGTACAGTCCAAACCAAGCGTTAATTTAAAAGTGATTTTATCCCAGAAGACTAGTACAGTAGAGTATATTTAGTAAGTATAGTAATCAGTATATTTTTTTCTTACATATAAGGCATCGATAGATTTTTTTTTACATTTTATAAAGTTTTAATCCAAAACTTTTGTACAGCTTTATTACTGTATTGTACCACGCAAACGTTACAAATGTCATACGATATTATGTTATCGTATGTTGTTTATTGAAAACAATTTTTATTAGTTTATTTTTCTTAAACTTAATTTGTCTAAACGTTTGTTTATTCAAATGTTTGAACTAGGTTACAATAACAATGACGAAAAACTATTTTGTACGTTAAGTTACATAATTATTTTATTAAATTGTCCCAGTGTAAACATTTATAATTATTATATTTGATTTGATTGTAAAGAACTTGTATAGTGATATGTCCAAAAAAATTGTATTTGTATAACAGTTTTCTCAAGGTTAAAACTTTTTAGATTTAAACCTAGATGACATCTAAAAAAGAAAATTTAAAATATACAAAAAAAAAATGTTCTTTTATTGTTTTTAATCATGTTTAAAAATTGAGATCAGATTCGTTTCGTGTCAAAATTAAATTAAAAATAACAAAATGGCCGTTATTTTTTAAAGCAGACAGGCACATTTTTCGCTGTACCCTTCATATATTTTTAGGTATTTGTCCCATTCTTGTAAGTACCGTAATACACCGATCGGACAAAGTGGCGGAAAGTAGGCGTGAACAATTGAGTCCAATTGGTCTAAAAGTTTGTTATCGTCGTAATAACATCTTGAATAAAACATATTTTGTCTTAAGTAAACACAAAAGTATGACGTATGCGAAGAGTCGCAAATCTAACCAACAAAAGGCATCCCAAACACCACTAACAGCATTAGTGTGTTTTTTATGTTCTTTGGGTTAAGTTTGTCAAGCAATAAAAAAAGTAAGCGATATTTGAAAATATTTTTCGTAAGACAAGTATTTCTTTAAATTTTAAATTGGTTTTTCTTATTGCCAACATTAAACTATTACAACTGAACATATTCATATATGTCCTTTTTTTTAAAAAAGTTATTAAAATTTGGTAACGTTTACATTTTAACATTCAAATTTTTCCATATTTAACTTCATATAAAGTATCCAAATTTTTAACTTTTTTTTGTTATTTCATAGAGTGCTAACAACTTTTGAACATTTTGTAACGTATACCAAGGTTATTATTTATAACAAATTATGTGTTTTTTATTGTTTTAGGTATTTAAGATGAAATCCAACATGAGTGTTGCGATTTTTGCTGTATATTCGTTCGGTCTTATTGTGAGTAAATATAGATTTTGGAAAAATTGTTTAATATTTCATTATTATTATAGTTTTATCTTTTCCTCTAAATATTCGTATACCTAACCACTAATAAGGGGAGGTCACAGTGAAGGCGTGACGGATTTTCTTTAAATTACGAATAAATGTTATTTATGAGAAATAAAAGAACCATTATTCGAGCGTTTGTGCCAATGCGTCCTAATTCCAGAGATAATTAACTTTGAAATTTACATATCTTTTGATATATCTTAAATAGACCTATTTTACAATCGTTAATAATAATTAATTGTGGTGCTGGTCGAGCGAGAGTGTCCGAGTACACCGGATTCAAACCGGCTCCCTCCGCAACACTTTTTGCCACTTTTTTACAACTTTTTTAAACTTTATGGTAATTTATATTGCAAGAAGTCTAACTACTTATAAAATATTTATATTTTATTGTTTCAGAATACATTTTTACTCTTAAAAGTACTTGATAACCTATATTGCATTCGGGTTTTCGTCATTTATTACACTTCTCGTACTGATGATTGAATAACAATTTTTTTTGTATATTTGTACTATTGTGGAATTTAACCTGTGAAGTTGTAGAACTAAAAAAATTAAATTTCATTATTTTTCTATAATAGTTATTGGTAAAAAACTAAAATTAATTATTTTTTTTAAGTTTTCATTTAGTTAATACGTCATGTGTGGATAACTACTAAAAGACTTTTAGACTACCATCATATAATATTGGCCACTTGCCACTAACCTAAACTACATATTCGTTGGCTGTATCAATAGATTTGGATGTAATTGTGTTGAACAACTGCATATGCTGCTCCTGCTCTTTTGCGATACCTATAATACCACTGCTAGTGAAGTATGTTATTACTAATATTGGTGTATGTCTTTTAGGTTTCTTTGAATAGTTCACCCATGGTACCAAGCAGTGGTGAGACATCAGGAAACAATCAGGGAACCAACTTGCCTCCACTTATTAAAAACTATTTAGTAAATGTAAATATATAAAAACTAGTTTTTACTTAAATAGGTTATGCACTGATGATTTCCGGAGCCTCTTTAATTTATTAATACATTTTCTTTGACCTATCCTAACTAAAATTGCAAAACTAGTGTACATTAATACATTGGGTATTTGACGACAGTCGAAATCCAACATGAGTGTTACGCTATTTGCTGTGTATTTGTTCGGTCTTATTGTAAGTATACATAGATTTAGGACTAAATTTTATCTATTTTATTATTAATATAGTTTGATCCTTTCTTTTAAATACTCATATAACTAACAACTAACAAGTTTAATTTTTTTCGTACATTTTTGGAATAGAAAAACAATATATAGTTTAAATTAGTATTTTAACAATAATCTCAATATTAATTTTATAATATTTTTTTTAATTTATACAACTACAAATGTTCTTTTTTTTTAATAGAAATAAACATAATTTGACAATATTTTTAAGAATATAAATAGTATTTTACTTTTTATATGGACTATATTATTATATTATGATTTCAAATAACTGCAGTGACTAAATCATCAATCATAAATATATTTTAATTATACTATAATAACACTGCTAGTGAAGTATGTAATTACTAATAATGGTGTATTTCTTTCAGGTAGTCTTACCAAGCGGTGGTGGGATATCAAGGAACAATCAGGGAACTATCTTGCCCGTATCTATAAGAAACTTTTTAAAACGTGTAAATATATAAAAACTAGTTTTTACATAAATAGGTCAAGCACTGATGATTTCCGGAGGCTCTTTAATTTCTTAATACATTTGCTTTGACATATCCTAACTGAAACTGCAAAACTAGTGTACATTAATACATTGGGTATTTGGCGACAGTCGACAAGAACTCTTTGATACAAGTAATAATACTAATACTAATGTGTGGTTGTTTCAGCTTTTGTCTAACGTAAATGAAAATGAATTGCCCGAAGATGTATTAAAATGGATAAACGGTCCCGATTTTTTAAAAGCACTAAATGATGTAAAAGATGATACAGCTTTAAATTGCTGTGAGTATTAAAAAATCATTTTTCTATAATAATCCATTTTCAATACTGTACAGTCTACTGTTTTTTTTTTGGAGTTTTCTAAGGAATTTATATTTTTTTAATTCTCAGTTGTACTTAGAAAAAACTAACCAAGAGGGCTTACATCTCTAAAATAATGTACTTTTTTGATATAGTAGAAATTAAAGTCTGAAATTATCACAAAATGTAGATTTACAGTATATAAAGAAAATATTAAATTTAGAAAAATGCACCTATTGAAAAACACATTTGTAGTCAAACGTTTGTCAATTTTCTCATTTTCCAAAACCCAAACTTATAAATTTCTGTATTTTTGTGGAAATTTGCGTAACAAAGAGCTGTAAAGCCAGCTTGAAAATATTATACCGAGTAATTCTTTTAACACTCTACACTAATTTACTTCTGAAATAATTGCAAATTGGTAGTGTTGCTTTTTGAAAATATTTTTAAATAAACCAAAATTGCTTTTACTCATAGAAAGAATGTTTTAAATTAAAAAATAATACCTAGTAGCTTATGCAAATTTACCGATAAATTAATTTACATGATCGAAATTTATTAAAACTTCTTATTTCCTGTAAATATTGCTTATACAAAAATACTAAAAAACAAGCCGCATCATAATCTCCTTAAGTACATTAGGATGGACCTTAATAAGTCGATTTTCGAATTTTAAACAGAACGCCCCCTAAATAGTTTCTTAGTACAATAAAAATAAGATATAAAAAGCTACAGGGTATCAAGTCAGTTTCGTGCTAATGGTTGTTTTCCGATTTACGCCAACATATATTACAATATGTTACCTAACTAATATTTTATTAGTTTGATACAATGAAGAGACTAAACTTGAAATATTTTTTGTATACAGATTTGAATGTACAACTAGACTCAGATTTTATTGGACAGCTTATCTTTACCAGGAACTTTATTCGTGTAGTCATTAAAAATAATCCGATAAATTTTAATGAACTGATAGACAGTGTACGTGAATATATAATCCTTTTCACCAAATCAAAATTAAGAACTGGACATCATGCAGTTACAAAAGAATTGATCGATACGTTCATAAGAGACGTGGAAAATAATTTCTAAAACAAAAATATTAATGATTTGTAAATTATAATATATTTGTTTTGTTTGATTGGAGCTTTATTGTTTATTTTTTATAATAAACTGTACGTTAAAAATCGTTAAAAATGTTAAAAAACAGGTACATAAAAAATAATAAAAGATAATAATTACAGATTACTTTTTTCAGTCTTGACACACGTATTTTTTAAAATTTTATATATTATGTTTGTATTGCTTGATGACATATAATATAACATACAAGCTGTCCGGACCCGGCGTTGTACGAGATTTAGTCTGCCAAGGCTGAGTAAAATAGTTCCTATTTCCCTATTCCTACCCCCATCCCCATCCCCACTGTCATGCTTTGAAGCGTAAAATAATAATGAACGCTAAATCAAATTCAAAGAAAAACGTAACGCGGTCTTTATATGACCGAAATCTTGGCATCTGAGGCATTGTATTATGTGACGGTGAGGATGTACATGTGTTCCTCTACCTTTATTTTGGTATAAAAAATGGAGTTTAATTTAAAAAAAAATAGTGTTTTAATCGCTTGGTTCTAAGTCGAAAAAGAATAAGGGTAGTGGTAATTTAGTTCGACCCTGTAGTACATTTACTACTTGTAGAGCGTTGAAACCGAGTAGTGATAACTCATGTTCTGATTAGTTCCAAATTCGTATGGAATATTCTTTAGACATAGATTTTTTTATTCACAATACGACGTTCCTAGCTAGTGCTTTTTACATCTAAGGATATATATATATATATATATATATATATATACAGTTTTCACATTTTATAGCATGATAGTAGTAATACGAGATAGTTAATATTAGTTATAAATAGTATTAATATAAGTATTTAGACATATAATAATAAGAGTAATTAATTAATAAGGTCATGTGGACGGCCGCGTCTTAAGCGTCGTTGGACTAGTGGATGTATGTGTAGATTGTAGTAAAGAGAACCGGTTGATTTTGGTAGTGAGCTATGCAAATATTCCGCCAGAGTGCTTATGAAATCGTTAATGTTTTTTATTTGGAAGTCTTTGTGTAAATTTGTGTTGCGTTCGAACCAGGGAGCGTTAGCTATTATTCTTAATTCCTTATTTTGGAATGTTTGAATGTTTTCCAAGTGTGTAGGTGCACAACTACCCCAAATAAGATAAGCGTGAACATTTTTTATGTATTGTGGATTTTTTATTTGGTATAGGGAATAACATCGAAAAGCGCTGGTATGCTTGTTGTAGTTTGCTTGATATATGTGGCCACCACCTTTTATCCAATGTGACTCCAAGATATTTGACTGAAGGTTGCCAATGTATGGGCTCATTATCAAATTGTAAGTGATACCGGAGTACAATAACGACAAAGGCTAAAAATAACTCCTGTGCTTTTTGAAGGATTTATTTGTATTTTCTAGTTTTTGCACCAGTTTAGTAATATTTATTTATTTTTTTTTTTTTAACGTCAATCGGCAATTCAAAGAGATACAATAACAAGTTAGGCACAAAAAAAAATTACAATAATAATAGTGATTAAGGTGATCCTACAGAAAAATTATAAACATTAAATGCTATTGCACAATACGACTAAAAACTAAATAGCTTATGTTAATATATAATAATTCAGAATAACATGTACAGATCTAGGAGTTATTGAGTAGACGGAGCATTCTATGCAAAGGATGGTTATGAGAGTAGTTGGTACTGTGAGAGGGGACTAGGTAAAGAGAGTGATTTCTAGTATAATGCACGGGAACGCGGAAATAGATAGAAGAGAGAAGGTCAGGGGCATCCACTGAGTCATTAAGAAGAGAGGTGATAAATGAAAGGTCAACATCTACACGGCGAGAAGTAAGACTAGGGATATTTAAGGAAGATCTAATGGACGAATAATCAAGGGGCGGGTGATCAATCTTAAGCAGAAAAGCAACGTAGGACAGGAATCGGTTTTGTACTCGCTCCAAACGTAGTTGGTCTTTAGCCAAATACGGGTGCCATATAACTGTTCCATATTCCAGGATAGAGCGGACAAGAGAGAAATAGAGGGAACGTAGACAAGTGAGGGATGTGAAAAGGGTAGTGTTGCGCTTTATGAAACCCAGAACTTTTAGGGCTCTACCAACTGCAATATTAATATGCTGTTCGAAAGAGAGAGAAGGAACTAGATGGATTCCAAGGTCTTTGACACAAGAAACACGATCAAGAGGAGAGCCATTGAGGGTATAAAAGAAGTTGATAGGAGTTCGCTTTCTATGGAATGTCATACTATGGCACTTGTTAAGATTGAGTGTAAGGCCAATACGCTGAGTCCAGAGACAAAAAGAGTCGAGATCTGACTGAAGTTGACGGCAGTCGGAGATGGAAGTAACTTTAGAATAAATTTTAATGTCATCAGCAAATAGTAGGACTTTGGAGAATGAAAGGTAACTGTTAATTGAGTTGATGAAAATGATGAACAGAAGAGGACTAAGATGTCCTCCTTGGGGGACTCCAGAAGGAGTTATATACAAGTCAGAAGTAGCACCATGAATTCTCACAAATTGCATTCTTGGACTAAGATAAGATTGGAGCCAGGATAATAAAGGATTCCCAATACGGAGTGATTCTAATTCAGAGATAAGACGGCTATGAATAACCGAGTCAAAAGCTTTACTAAAGTCCGTGAACACGGCATCAACTTGACAATCGGATTCAAAGCTTTCAAGAATTTAAAATGTGAAAGCTAGGGTACAAGTGGTAGTAGATTTACCAGGACGAAACCCATGCTGGTCAACCCCTAATATATGGTTAAGACTTCTTTTGATATTAGCATATATAATGGATTCGAACAGTTTAGATATGTGGGGGAGGATGGAAATAGGTCTGTAGTTCGAAACAAGAGAGGGATCACCAGATTTAAAAACAGGGGTAACAGAACTGGTCTTCTATACAACAGGAAAAATACCCTCGTCGAGTGAGCGTCTAAAGAGCAGGAATATAGGGTACACTATAGAGTCTTGACAATTAAAAAGTAGACGTGCAGAAATACCATCGGGGCCATTAGAATTGTTATTTTTTAGGGAGTTAAGTGCAAGTTGCACATCATTAAGCGTAAAGTGGCAATTAGAGGGAAGTTCATAGGGATAGCTATTATTTGTAGGGGGATTAAAAGCTGAAGAAATAGAGGAGTTATACATGGAATAGAAGTACTTAGATAACAAATTAGCAGAATCACGAGGATTATCAGCCGTAGCGTTATCCCAACGTAAGGTGGAGGGTATTGAGTTGTGCTTGTTTAGATATTTAGTATACTTCCAAAATTGTGAGGGATTATGAATGAGCGAGTGTTCTGTACGTTTTATATAGGACTGATAGTCTATATTTGAAGTGCGCTTGCATTTCGCACGAAGCTCAGAAAAAGCTATGTAGTCGCAAGGCAACTTGGACCGTTTAAGAACTGCATGGGCACGTTTTTTCTTCAAAATGAGATTTTTAAGTGCGGGAGAGGTCCAGAGAGGAAATTTTGGTAACTTGTAAATTTTAGTTGGAACAAACAATTCAATGGAATGATGAAGGGCTTCATTAAAAATAGAGGCAGCATCTTCGATTGAATATTGCGAGAAGGTAGACTCCCAGTTAAATGAGTTAAAAAATTGGAATATAGCAGAGTAGTTTGCATCTTTGAAGTCTTTAAAGGTATGGGTATAACCTGTAACATCGTCCGATAGGAAAGGAAAGATTATGTGAAGGGTGGGTGGTATAGATCAGGAATAACGAGGGCCTCAGTTGCTGCACTGATAGTGACTTTATTGAAGTTTGAAAAAATAAGATCTAGAATGCTGTCATGACTATTAGGAAGGAAGTTACGCTGAAAGAAATTTAAGTAAGAAAAAGAGTCAATAATAGATGTGGTAACAATATTGTGATCATTAGTGGCAATTAATCCTAGTTCGTCAGACGACCACGCAACATTAGGGAGATTGTAGTCACCACATAGGATAACTGATTGAGATTTATAGGTGGATATGATTTGCTCAACAGAAGCAACATGGGGTTCAACTACAGGAAGAGGAGAGTGTGGGGGTAAATAAACACCACCTACCAATAAATACTTAGAGTTGAAGGATAGTAAGGCAAATACTTGCTCAACATTCGAGATAGTTAAAGTAATAGGATGGGATTTAATGGAATTATTGATGGCAATTAGTACTCCACCTCCTCGGAGAAGAGAACTGTTGTTTGGATTTCTATCAAGTCTTATCACCTGAAAGCCATAAAAGCCTAATTCACTATCACTAACGTCAGGTGTTAACCAAGTTTCGGTAAGGATAATAACGTCATAAAAGTAAAACATAGGAAAGGAACATCTGAGATTGACTAATTTAGTTTTAAGGCCACGTACATTTTGATAGAATATTTTTAGATTAAAATTAAGGGCCTTATTACATATATTATTGCTATTAGTATTAGAATTATCAACAGGTTTAGAAAATGAAGTTTTGAAGTTATTAAAATATAATAAGAATGATTTTAAAGTTTGTTGAGCTGAGTGGCAGTGTGTACAGTAAGACGATTGTGATTTAAAGTTATACATACAGTTGTGGTGAAGATCTGGAAGGCATGAGCAGTAGTACAAGACGGCTTTGTTCGTGACAGGTGGAGGTTGTTTAGGCAGTGGCAGGTCGGGACTTGCTAGTTTTTTGACTGGATAAATGTAGAGTTAGAAGCATGGTGGCGCCTGGCATGGGACGACCGATAAAGTGGCATAATGAAGGGGAGTCCATCTCTATAGTTGATCGTCAGGTCAGTTTCACTGTTTTTTTTACGGTTTTCTAATTCGGCGTATACATGACGGATAGACTCTCGTTCAAGTGGGGTGCGATCACGGGTCATCGTCACAGAACGAAGCGTACTGTCGGGAGAAAGACCTCTGGCATTTTTATTGAAGTCAGAAACTAGTTTAAGAGCTATTTCTTTAGAAGAGAAGAATACCTTGAGAGGTCGTGGACCTCTATTATTAGTTTTGCCAAGTCTTATAGACTTGAGATTTGCAGGTAATTCAGGGAAGTATGGCTCGAGATATATCCGATAATATATCGAGATGGTCCTGTAAGTTGACAGTTATCGCTTCAATATTACGGGATTCACTGTAAATAGCTGTGTCGTCAGCGAAG